GAGGTGGTTTCACGAGCAGTGTCACTCCCCCACGCACATTTTAAGGGGGGGGACCTCAAACCCCAAGATCCCCCAACCCGGCCGTGCGGGCGGGGGATTTCTGGGAGTTGAAGTCCACCCATCTTAAAGTTGCTGAGGTTGAGGAACCCTTTTCTACAGCACAGCAGTTTTGATTGCAAAACCTACTCTGTGAGTCCTGTTGTCAGAGTCCTGTTCCAAAAGAACGTATATCCACTCGTTGCTTCCTATAATGAACCCTCGTCTGCCAGGCTGGTCCCACCGAGTGCAGCAATGTCAACGCTATAACAGTGAAGTTTGGCTGCTATGAATGCTGTTCGTCTTTCAGGCCTTGGCACCTTGTCTCTATCCAGCAAGAGGCGGATGTTCCTGGCTCTGAAAATGAGTTTTCTTTGATTCATTCTTCTTGATGCTTGACTGTGGTTTGCTAGCCAGATGCTAGTCAAACATTGCGGGCCAGACAATGTTTAGGGTATCATTTTTAATCCCCTCCCTCATGCAAGGGTGGGCAATGCTATCCTAGAAGGGCTGCACAGTTGCCCTGGGTGCTGCCAGACATCTATGCTGCCCCGGGTACTGAGATGAATGACCAAGGGCTGCCCAGATGCAGATTTTACTACAACTGCCAGTGGTCACCCCCACCTGTTGCTTTGCCACTCCCCTGTCACCGCAGGGCTCAACAAATTAGGTTTGGACTGAGACGATTTGCAGATGAGTTGTAGATGAAGATGAATTGCACAACAGAAACTTGTGTGTGATGGAGTTTTAAGTGGAACAGCCGTTGCACAGGAGCAGTCCCACTCTCAGCATAAGAGACCTGAATCCAGTGGCACGGAGAACCGTTATGGCTGGAGAACTCTTCTGCTGCAGCGGGTGACCAGATGTCTAAGTGTGCAGTCGTGCTCTTAGTGCTCCACAACGCCTGCTGGGCAGGCCTTCTTGACCGTTGGATCATTGATCAGTTTCCACTCAATCTGCCAGGGCCAGACTTCACACGATGGGATAAACAAGTCCCCTATCTCACCAAGAGTCTAAGGTCCGTCAGCGACTCTCCCCTGGTTTGGCTCATCTGCTGAAATGGTTTACTGGGGTGTTGCTGCTGTGCGTGTTACAGCTACTTGGAGCCACAGGTGAGAACTGAGCTCCGGATGGGGATCAGAGGTGAACGAGCAGCCCTAGAAGGCCATGGCAGGCCCCTCTACCAGAGGTGCTACCCCTCCCTAGACACCCCATACACCCCATACACTAGAATAAAGGAATGCATGATGAAGTTCCACTTTCCTCTCAGCAAGTCCTGGTATATCACCATTGTCAGCAGCTATGCACCAACTCTCATGAGTCCAGATAAAGACAAGGAAGGTTTCTACAAGGACCTGGGCCAGATTATTCAAACAAACCCTGCCAGCAACAAACTCATCATTCTGGGCGACTTCAACGCTAGGGTGGGGACAAACAGTGACAACTGGGACAGAGTCCTCGGGAGACACGGGGTGGGAAAACTAAATAGCAATGGCCTGCTGCTTCTGAGCAAACGTGCTGAGCACAACCTGTGCACCACTAACATGATGTTCAGACTTGCAAAGAAGTACAGAACTACCTGGATGCATCCCAGGTCCAAACACTGGCACCTACTTGACTATGTCATAGTACATCAGCGCAATTTTAAAGACATCACCATCACCTGAGCCATGCAAGGTGCTGAGTACTGGACAGATCACAGGGCTCAACCTGCACACAGCAATTTACCACTTGTGGGAACCTGTTCTGAAAAGTGGATGCAGTTTAAAGATGTCATCACACAGACTGCAACAACTGTACTCGGACTGAAAACCCAGGCGCATCAAGACTGGTTTGATGAAAACCACGAGAGCATTTCAGCAGCCCTCCAGGCCAAGAACAAGGGCTATGCAGACTGACAGAATGATCCATTACCTGTCTCAGAGAAAGACAAGTTTAAGCACCTGCAGTCCAAAGTACAGATGGAGCTGTGAGAAATCCAGGATGAATGGTGGCAGAGAAAAGCTGAGCAGGTGGAACGCTATGCAGATGTGCATGCCACCAGAGAGTTCTTCAGTGCCATAAAGTCAGGATGCTCTCCACTTCTGTCATCTGATGGGTCGAGCCTGATCAAAGACAGGAAGGACAGAAAAAGCACTGGGCTGAACACTTTTCCAACCTACTCAATAGGCCATCCACAGTTGATCATGATGTCTTACAGTAGAATTCTCAGCCGCCAGTCTTGGATGCCCTAGACCTGTCTTCCTCTACTGATGAGATCAAGAAAGTGATCTCGCAGATGAACTCAAATAAAACAACAGGAGAGGATGGCATTCCTGCTGAGATCTACAAAGCTCTGGACCCAAATGCCTTACAGGTGTTCCAAAACATCTTGGAAGACATTTGGTCCACAGAGGAGATGCCTGATGACTTCCGCAATGCCCTCATTATGGCTCTCTACAAAAATAAGGGAAGCAAATCAGACTGCGGAAACTACAGAGGTATGTCACTGCTATCCATTGCAGGCAAGATCTTTGCCCACATTCTCCTGAACAGACTTGTCACTGTCTCAGAAAGGAACCTCCCAGAGGTGGAATCTGGCTTTTAGACAGAACAGATTACAGCAGACATGATATTTGCTG